AATCATCCTTTGACAAAAATATTATTATTATTCCCATTTTACAGCACTAAATTAGGCTCAGAGAGGTTAAGGAACCTGCCCAAGGCAGCACAGCTGTTAAGTGGCCCAGCTGAAATCCTCACCTGCTCCTCCCTCTCTCTGTGCCCTTATCTACCAGCTATGTCAACTGTCCTGTCAAACCCACAGCCCTTCCTCCGTGGGCCCCTCCCCCTCACACCGTACAGCTCTCAGCTCCAACAGTTACTTCTCAAGGACACTCCCGGACCATGACCCTGACCCTGAGTCAACCATTCCCCTCCCTGCTTTCAGAGACCCCCGTCTTAGCCCTGAGCATGAGATGGTCCCTCGCTTGACCCTTAAGGCCAAGGCTGGCTCTCCCAGCCCAGGACTGCATCGCAGGCTCCTACACAGTGTCTGGCACATGAGGACCAGTCCACGCGGTTCCCGAGTGCCAGCCACAGGCAGCACCCTGAGCCCAGCAGTCTAGTGGGATGTGACACTAACAGCCAATGAGCAACCAGACAAATACAACAACTCCACATGGTGATCCTGCTTTGAAGAAAATCACAGTAGACACCTTGCAGGCCAGTGGCCAGTGGAGGGCTGCTCTGCATAGAGAGACGGAAAGGGGCCTCTCTGGAAACCCCACACTCTGGCTGAGATCAGAACGATAGGAAGGATCCAGGTAGTCAAAGAGCCAGAGAAAGAAAGGTCCAGGCCCTGAGGTGGGAACAAGCTTCACCTATAGAAGAGAAGGGGCCCATGAGTGTCTTCAGCAGCAAGGAGGGGGTGGGGGGCGGGGCGGGGCGGGGTGAGGTGGGAGAGGCACAGGGAGACCCGGAAGCCCAGGGGAGGCTTTTAGATTTTATTCCCAATGCAGCACTCCCCACAGTCAGCCCCAACCTACCTTTCCAGTCCCTTCCCCACCATTCCTCGACCAAATCTCAGCTCCAGTCCCTCTTTGACCCCTGGGTCCCCCCGGAGCAGCACTGGCCACCTCTGACTCCCAGGAGGGTCTGCCTTCCTCTGGGCTCCCACACTGGCCACCAAGAGCCGCTGGGCCTCAGAGGCTCACCTGGTGGAACTGCTAACGGGGTCAAAGGGTGGGGGGGGGGTGAAGGGGTGACCTTAGACCTCAGTGTCCCCATAGAACCTGGGATATGAGGAGTGTCTGTGCATGGGAACCTTCCACGCAGGACCCCTCAGATGGGGGATGAAGGAGGACCCTACAGTCACGGGGGAGCAGAGGGAAGAAGCTGAGGCTGACAGAGGTGAGAGGAGCCGATTCCGAGCAGACACCTTTATCTGAGGAGATGCGCTCCCACTGCCATTTTCCATCCTGTGGAGCAAGAGAGAAGCAGGTGAGACTGGAGGCCAGGCAGGAGCAGGGAGGTGCCCGGCACTCTGCGTCCCATCCGCCCTCACCCCAGGGGCAGAGTTTCACAGACTTGGTGAATGTCCCCTAAAAAGGGGCAAAGGGGCTGAAACTGGGGCCCTGGATCCTGGTTTCCCCAGGCCAACAGGGGAGGGAAAAGGAGTTCAAGGGGGAAATGGGCCCAGGGGTCAGACGGTTCAGTGAGCTGTCCCCATGGCGATGTCTGGGAAGGGGAAGCTAGTCTAGGAGCTTTACTGGGTGGGGCTGGCAGGAACTGGCACCGATGGTGCTGGGTAATAAATAGGTGCGGGATGGAGGAAGTGAGAGCAGCAGGTGCACTCGGGATAGGAGAGTGACACACAAATGACTGTGATGTGTGAGAATGGCTGAGCCGTGACATGAGGTGAACAGCAAGGGACTGGTGGGAACGACTCATTGAAACAAGCAGGGCCAGACAAATGAGCAGTGACAGGCAACATTCGCATGCACGTGTGCAAGGCACTGCTCGGGCCTCGGAAGGAGCAGTAACTCTCCCCCGTGCAATGAGGTAGGTGCTCCCCCACATTATAGACAAGAGCCCGAAGTCCTGGGGGGGTGAGGGGGGTGCGGTCACGTGCTCAGGACAGCACAGCTGTGAGTGGTAGGGCCTGGGTTTCAGTCCAGAGTTGGGGCGCTCAGTCCGCGAGGCGCTGCCTGTCGTGCATGCGACAAGTTCACTTCGAGCCAAAGTTACCGGTGGTGCCGCCGCCTCTCCGGCCAGTGCTCCCGCAGCAGGTTGCTAAGCCGGGCATCCTTGCTCACCAGGTCTGAGAGTTTCTGGGAGGAGCCAAGATGCACTGAGACGCTGTAGCCGTGTCCACCCGGGCAGCCCTGTCCAGCCTGCCTCACTCCCAGGTACCTGGAGAAAGCTGCTGGCCACGGGGTCGGTGTGGAGCATGGGGCCATACAGGGCCACCCACTGGCTGACCAGCCGCAGGATCTGCTGTCTCTTGTTGCAGATGTAGATGTTGCGCTCCTGCTCACTGCCTCCCGCGGGCTCCGCGTGGAAGGTGGGCGCCAGTCAAGGAAACCACAGCATCCAACTGAGCCACCCCCCGCACCTCAGGCAGAGGAAGGTGCTGACAGGCCTGGCATGAGGCTGGTACTTTGGAGGGTTTGGCACAGCCATGCTATGAGCGGTCCCTTCTCCCCACTCCACACACCGTCCCCAGGGCTGGAAGGATATTGGTGCAGGAGGGCAGCGCAGAGCTGGGTGCTGGGCATGAAGACTCTGTGGGTCAGGAGGAAGTCACTGAGGAACGTCTCTGTAGGGCAGGCGGGGATGGGAGACAGGTGGCAGGTGGGGCTTCAGAGGTCAAGCCCATTGGACACAGGTACACGCACAGCTGGAGTGCCAGCCCCCAGTGCTGCCATGGTCAAAGTACCACTGATGCCCAGCCCCTGTGACTGCACTCCCTACCCAAGCCAAGAGCACAGGAATGAGGATTTACTGCCAACTGGCCCCACGGACCAAGCCGGCACCCAATCAGGTCAGAGGCAGGTGCCCAGCCCTCTCCCAGGCTGCGCTGACCGCCTGATGAGTCAGACAGGCAGTTGTCTCCTGTCCCTACCTGTTGGATCATGAGCACTGGAATCAGGCCTCATGGCCTCCAACAGCAGTTCTAGGATCTTCTCCGGGGTGCCAGACATCACCGTATACCTGGTAGAAATGGCCAATCCATGCCCTGGTGCCACCACCACCCCTCCCACAACCCGGACAGATGGCAGTAATCAGTCATATCACTCTTCCCTATTTGTCTGCCCTGCCCCACCTAGGGGTGGAGGGGTGGCTATTCAGGGGTACATCTGAGTCCCAGGATGTCTCTCTACCCAGGAGGCCAGCAGGCAGGGGTATGACACGGAGGAAGGGAGTAAAGCCTGGGAAAAGGAGGAGAGAAGGTGGAGAGGGAGCTTGGTGGGTGTGTTACCGGTTCCTGCCTGGGGTTGGGGGGCAAGAAGAGCCAGCACCCTGAGAGGTTCTCTCCAGCACCAACACCACTTTGCCGTGCTCTTCCAGCCTCATGGTCTTTGCTTCCACGTCCTGAAGAACAAGCCACACCCAGTGCTCAGCACACACCATGCCCCTTCCCCATCTCAGGCACCTCTCCCCACACCTCCCTCCTTCAGACCCTGAGCCCCACAAGGACCCTCAGCCCTTCTCCCACTCTATTCAACACCCACCACTTGGATCTGCCCTTCATCCCACCCCTGCTTATCACACAGCCTGAGCCCCTCCTCTGCTCCATCCCTCCCTGCCCTCCCTCCATGGATCCCACCCTCCATTGCACTGCCCCCCTCACACCCTAGTCCCCCACCCCTCAGTAGCCCCACTGCCCCCATGGTCTCCCACACAGAGCAGAGTTCAAGGGCTCACGGAACCTCATCAGCATGCTGTGGACTTCCTCACACCCCCAGGCTGGGCTCCCGCCTCCAGCCATCATCTCTGAGCTTCTCCATCTCCTCGCTCCCTGCCCCTCACAGGCTCTCTCTGGTCCCTCCCCTGCCCCACACTTCTCCAGAGAACTGTGCTTGCCACCTGCCCTCCCCACCCCCAGCAACGGCACCTTGATGATACGGTTGAAGTCCTGCTTGTCCACTCGGAGAAAATGACAGTTGTCTTCTCGCAGGATGATGGTGGCTGCCCGGGGTGCGTCGTTCACCAGAGCCAGCTGTCCGAAGTCATCTCCCTCATGCAGTGTGGTCACCAGCCCCTGGAGCCAGGCCTCAGTCACAGCCCGCCCAGCCCAGCCCTCATGAAACAGAGCCACAGCAGGGAGAAGCTCTGAGGCACGAGGAGACCTGGGCGTCAGCAGCCTTGTGTTCCAGCAGAGGCACTTGCCCGTGGGGAACGACCAGGGAGCAGTTACCACCCGGGGGGCTGGGGAGCTGGGCACACTCACTCTTGCCGTGGGTCACCACATTGACGGATCCCTTCCAGATGATGTACCACGAGGTGCCTTTGTCCCCCTGGCTGAACACTGAGAGGAGCACAGGTCAGACACGCCCCAGCACCCACCACCTCTCTGGGGCCCCCAACCATGTCCAGGTCCCTGGTGCCCAGCTTCCTGCCAGCTGTCTGACTTACACACAGTCCCCGCCTTGCTGTGGGGTTCAAAGAGCAGAACTGCTGCTAATTCCCGCTTCACCTGTGGGGAGGGAGAGGGGGGTCAGTGGGCAAGTCCAGGGCAGAGGACCAGGTGAGGGGTGAGGAGGGAAGGCCCAAAGACATGAGTGCCCGGGGGCAGAGATGTCGCTAGGCCAGGTGGCCTGGGATTAGGGGGGTGGGGGAGGGCTAAGAGGCAGAGGGTTTTCAGACAGGATGCTGGGAACAGCAATTTAGATGGAAATTTCCAAGCCATAGGCAGAAGGGGAGGGACGTGTTTTCTGGGCCAGCAGCTGGCGCCTCCTGGGGTGGTCACAGGAGGGGAGGCTCCTGGGGAAAGGGCAGGGCGGGGCAGGGCGGGGCCTGCGACTGACCGAGTTGGAGAGGTGGGCCACAGCCTTGATGTGCAGCAGCTCCTCAAAGATGAGCTCCAGCTCCTCGTCTGTGCGCTGCCCTGGGCTGCAGGCCAGGGAGGACCAGAAAGCAAAGGATGAACTCCAGCCGGGGCCAGGGCTGGGACCACTCACCCACAAAGCACAGGCCTGAGGCCAGGCGGTGCCTCAGCAAGGATTGTTGTCACTAATGGCCAGCCATTCCCCAGTTCACACTGTGCCAGACACGGGACTAAGTGCTTCACACGCATCATTTCAATTGTCCTCACGACAACCCGTGACGTGGGCATTCTTGTTCTCCTTTGACGGAAGAGGAAGCTGGCACGGAAAGGCCCGAGGCCACCCAGCTCGCAGCCAGTAGAACCAGAATTTGAACCCAGACCTGCCTGAGGACTCGTGAGCCCACCCTCTCTCAGCCATTGCTGCCACTCAGAGTGGGCAGGGTCTTCAGAGGCCTCGTGCCCCACACCCTCAGTTACAGAGGAAGAAACGGGCTCAGTGGGGAAGGAGGGCTCAGATCACCCGGCAAGCCTGGCAGAATGCAGGTCAGAGCTCAGGCCTCTGATCCAACCGGGGTCCTGTCTCTCAGCGAGAAGGGAGCCCCTCGGAGACGAAACTGAGAAGCTATGGGGTCTGGGAGTCGTGTGGGGCCTGGGGTCTCGGGGTGCAGGGTGCCAACTCACGGCTTTCGAAGTGCCACAGTGAGCAGGGCATCCGGTCCCCGCTGGGAGAGCAGGGCCATGGCCTCAACCAACTCCTCCTCCAGCTCATGGACTCCCGAGGGCTCCGGCTCTGGGCCCGGGAAACGGTAGAACTGGGTGTCTCGGTCCTGGAAGGTCCAGTCGTGTTTCACTGCGGGAAGAGGCCCAGACATGGGGGAGGAGAGGAAATTGAGGCTGAGGGAGTCTGAGGCCCTACTACAATGCTCATCCCTCCTTACCCCAGATGCCCGCTCCCCAGGACTGCCCAGCCCCGGGTGCCCTGCCCTGGGCTCAGGCTCACCATGGCAGAGGGCACCTTCATCCAGCAGGACTTGACAGATTCCCACGGCTTGGCTCCGTGAATGCACCCCAAGCCCCAGGGCCAAGATCCCATCCACTAGCTCCCGGCCTGAGCAGCATTGCCTGCAAGAGTTAAGAGGACAGGGAAAAGGACGGACGGTCAAATGGCAGGAGGGGAGAGGAGAGAGGGAGCAACTGTCCATCCACAAGGCACCTTCCTAGGCCCAGCCCCAGCTCTGCTAGAAGCAGGGCCAGGCCCAGATGCCAGGAATAGAATGAAAAGGAAGAGAAAAACAGAGGGGTTGGGCCAGGAGGCCGGCAAGGCCTCCACTCACCGATAGAGCCTAAGGTGGTACTTTCTGTCTCGGATGAGGTTCTGGCAGGTGGCCAGGAGATGTCGATGCAGCTGCTTCCCCGCCCTGAGCACCCGCTCTGTGGAAGCCTGGGGGGTGGGCAGCACAGCTGGCTCAGGCCCTCACCCGCTGGCCATGCTGCCCCCCCGAGCCCCCCAGCTCCACCCTCAGGCTTGTACCTGCTCCAGGCTCACACTGAAGTCCAGGGACTCCTCGCTGTTGGTGAGTGGTGTCTGAGGGCAATGGGAAGAGTCTGCACGTTAGTGCCAGGCCCTCCTTCAAATCCAGCTCCTGGACTCCACCCCCCCCCCCATCCCTGCACCCCTTGCCTAACCCCCAACTCCAAACGCATCCATTCAGCTACTCATTCAACAAATACAGTAGTCTCCCTCCTATCTGCGGTTTTGCTTTCCAAGATTTCAGTCACTCACACTCAACTGTGGTCCGAATGGAAAATTCCAGAAATAAACAATTCATAAGTGTTAAATTGTGTGCCATTCTAAGCACTGTGATCAAATCTTGTGTTGTCCCCCTGGGACATGAATCATCCCTTTGTCCAGCATATCTTCACTGTATACACTACCCACCCGTTAGTCACTTAGTAGCGTCTGGCTTATCAGATCCATTGTTGTGGTGACCCTTAGCCCTGGCCGGGTGCTCAGTTGGTTGGAACTGGTGCACCAAAAGGTTACAGGTTTGATTCCCTATCATGGCACATACCTAGGTTTCAGGTTCGATCCCTGGTCAGGGTGCATAGGGGAGGCAACTGATTGATGCTTCTCTTTCTCTCTCCCTCTCTCTCTCTCTCTCTCTCTTCCCACTTCCTCTCTCTAAAATCAGTAACATATCCTGCAGTGAGGATTAAAAAAAAGTAAGCCCTATTTTACTTAATACTGGCCCCAAAGCGCACCATTAATGGTGCTAGCGATTTGGACATGCCAAAGACAAGTAGTAAAGTGCTTCCTTTAAATGCACAGATATATGTGTTTAGGAAAAACAGTGTGTATAGGATGCAGTACTGTCCCTGGTTTCAGGTACGTGCTGGGGTCCTGGAACATAGCCGCTGGATGAGGGGCGACAACTGTAAACAAATACTCACTAATCACACGGTGTGCCCGGCATCGCCTCTTCCCCACCCTGCTATCCTGTCCCCAGACACCCAAGCACTTCATCCCCACAGATGAGCACCCCGAGACCCCAGTTCTGCTTACTCGGGGCCCAGGTGTGCCCAGGCTCCCAGGTACCTGCTCCTGGAAGAGCATGAGGACGTGCGATAAGAAGGCCCTGAGAGGCCCGGGGGTGCGTGGCTTGGGAGGCCGGGAACA